ACGTTGCTTGTGCCCGAGGATACATATCCCCGAATGATTGGGATCAGATACGCCACCATTGTCCTCCTCGTCGTCGCCGAGCGGTTGCGCGCGATTGACCACAAGGTCAGCACATGACCGGGAGGGCTCTTTTCTGGACTGTCACCCCTCTCTCCGTGTCTCTGTCTCCGTGTGTGTCTTCTCGTGTCAGATCTACAAGGAATGCCTTGATCGTCGCGTCCCTGTGCTCGTTGTGCGCAGCAAGATGGACAACGCCGTCGAGAACGCCATTGACGACGCTGAGGACGAAGGCCAGGAGCCTCCCACCGCTGAGCAGACGTACGAGGCCGCCCGCGCCAATGTGATCTCCAAGGCCGCAAACCCACCAGCAGAGTCTGGCGTGCCATCAATCCAAATCCCCCCGGAGCGCATCTATCTCACGAGCCGCAAGTACGTCAAGGAGATCCACGACGTCGCCGACTTCCGCGTCAGGGACTTCTACCGGCTCTTCCAGGACATCTCCGCTGCCGTGGCCAATGACGTGTCGCGGGATGCCCGCAGGTCAGCAGGGCAGAGCAGAGCAGGGCAGAGCAGAGCAGGGCAGAGCACCGCCAGATGGATGATGTATGTGCTCTGTCTGTCTGTCTGTTTCTCGCAGAATGGTCGCCTAGACGGACCGACCAAGACACACCACACAGGCACCAAGACAGCGTGCCGTCTGTGTGCATTGCAAATTCATTTGTGTATGACTTTATAGTGATGCGCGTGTGTGACGTCCTGTTTGTGTGGCCCGAGTGCAAAGCACCGGCCGGCGTGCATCGCCTGGGCGGTCCCGTGCTCGGTAGATGAAATGATTCCTGAGCTTTCATGCGCTGTCAAGTATTTATGATTTATGATTGCCTCGTTTTTCTATCACCTCGCTGCACGTGCGTGTGTCTGTGTGTGTGGCCCACCCCTACCTACTTACCTTGGCTGCGTCTGTGTGTCTGTGTGTGTGTGTGTGTGTCTGTGTGTGTGTCTGTGTGTCTGTGTGGCCCACCCCTACCTACCCAACTTGGCTGCATCTGTGTGTGTGGTCTGTGTGGTCTGCCTGTGTTTTCCATCGAATCCTTTTTGCACACACACACACACACGGGGTGCGGAGGGTACGCGGTAGTCACTTTGTTTCTCTGTTATTATTCACGACACACATACATGCACACGAACTAACGAACGAACAAACGGACTCTCACGGTCTCTCAATCAAGAAAACACTGCTCGCCACGAATCCGTTTGCCCAGTCTACCAGCGCGGCCACCTATGCTACACACACTCATTATCATGCCCATCAGCCCCTCCCTCAATCAGTCACAGTGTCCAGAAGAGCAGCATGAGCCCTCTGAGGTACTGCATGACCTCCTCCGCCCCCAGCTTGGACGAGCCATAGATGCGGTCGACGAAGGTGATGGGGCACTCGGCCACTGTGTAGCCCATCTTGGTGGCCCTGGTGATGAGTTCCATCTGGAACACATAGCCCCTGCTGACCACACGCGAGATGACGTCCTCGAACACCGCCCGTCGATAGAGCCGGAAGGAGCCCGTGAGGTCCGACACGCCGGGGCTGAGCATCACCTGCGCCAGGTAGTTGGCCACACGGCTCGTGAGGATGCGCCGCATGTCCCACCCATACACACCGCCGCCCCTCCCCTTGTAGCGCGTCCCCGTCACGATGTCGGCCTGTGTGGTCCGCTGCATGTCGATCAACTGGGGGATGAACTTGGGGTGGTGCGACAGGTCGGCGTCCATCAGGAGGATGAATCTGCCGCTTGCGACCTCCAGGCCGCTGCGGTAGGCCGTGCCGAGGCCCAGCTTGCCGGGCCGCTCGTGCAGCCGGATGTGTCTGTCGCCGTAGATGCGCTGCAGCTGTCTGCAGACGTCTGCCGTGCCGTCAGGGCTGCTGTCGTCCACCACCACCACCTCCCAGTCGCCGATGCCCCCCTTTTGCAGCTCACTCACAATCAGCCAGATGACCAGCGGCAGGTTGTCGCGCTCATTATACGTCGGCAAGATAATGGAGTACTCCACCATCGCTGCCGCTGCAAAGAGGCGCAAAGATCTGCACACCTTCTTTTTTTCCAAGCTCGCAGAAAACCTTTCGTTTCCGCAACGGGATTGGGGGCGCTTGAAGGACGTCGCCAGCGGCATAGAGTCCACCTTTTCCGCAGATCTCCGACAATTGAGGAAAGATCTGGCGGTCTTGCTGTCTGCTGCTTCA